ACCAGAGAACCCTATGAGATCTGGGAGAGACCAGAGACCCGCATGAGCTTCGGGAGAGACCAGGAACCCAGATGAGAACCGGGAGAGACCAGAGACCCGGATGAGAACTGTGAGAGACCAGAGACGCGGATGAGCTTTGGGAAAGACCAGAGACCCGAATGAGATCCAGGAGAGACCAAAGACCCGGATGAGCTTCGGGAGAGACCAGAGACCCGGATGAGAACCATGAGAGACCAGACACGCGGATGAGCTTCGGGAGAGACCAGAGACCCGGATGAGATCCGGGAAAGGCCAGAGACCCGGAGGAGAACCGTGGGAGACCAGAGACACAGATGAGATCCGGGAGAGAGCAGCCGACAAACATCACTCCAAAAGCTCATTAATGTCTCATCCATAAAACGACGGGAAAACTCATAACAACAATTAAAGCTTGATCTCTCTTTAACTATCAGAAAGAGACTAGAGACCTCCAGGGAACATCCCCCCATCCCCACCCCGACCCAAACCACAAGAACACAAGGCCTGTCTCGAAGTTACCAAACACATCTCCAACATGATGGATGGTCTGTGTGCTCGTTTGATCCTGTCTCCTGAGTGAAGTGACCTGAGATCAGAGGGATTGCACATTTTTACTAACATGATGGTGCCCTCCTGGAGCACGCTTTCTGACCCGGGTTCTAAATTTGCTGGTTCAGGGTCTCTTTTAGGGCTCTGAATAGCCAGTCAGTGTGAAGGACTCTGCTTCTTTAGCAGACCAGCTCACTTTATGAATGTCTATTAAAATCTTTCAACGATGTGCCACTCTCACAGTACTGACAGGTCCAAATAATGGTTCTTAGAGCTGTAAATGAGGGGCTTTACTCTGGTGTCAGGAACAGGGGAAAGGAGTCAGGGTGTCCTCGGTGCAGGGAGGGTTTGCAGGTCCTGTTAAAGTTGGTGTAGACCTGATGTTGTGTTTTGCTTCTCCTGGTTTTAATCTCCATGTTCGTTCATATTGTCTTTAGATTTGGTTGAATTCTCCAGTAAAGATAGAGAAGCTGTCAAGGTGCTGATCTTCATCTATCCACTCTAACATTAGCCTACATGTGTTTGTTTACATCAGCAATAAAAGCATCAGTCCTTTTCCCTGGGCGCACTGAGATGTCTGCCATTTCAAAGTAACAGTTCCAGTTCTCAGCAGCAGCGTCCCTGTTCACCAACTGGTGTTAATGCCGATAATCTGCCTTTTATTGTTAGCATTGTCCTCCTCCTTGCTGATTCCAAGTCAGATGGATACCAACGACTCGACCTGCTGTTCTCCAGCGACGTGGGGTCTGTTGTCTGGTGGGAGATTTGTACTTGAGTCTGCTTATTGTGACAGCTTCACAATAAGCAGGAAAGCAGGGGAACCTGTGGATCCAGGAGAGTTAATCAAAGCCATGATCTGAAGGCCAGTCCAAGGTCGACATCAGGCGGAATCCAGGCAAAACAGAGCACAGGATGAGTGACCAAAAGTCAGAAAAACAGATAGAACTAAACACAGGGAAATCTAGAGTTAGTCTCGCTAGAAGCTAGAATAATATGGCACCAGAGGCTGGGATAAAGAGGCATAAATAGCAGCAGGAAGAGGAGGATCTGATAGGAGATAATGAGCACAGGGTGGAGCAAAGCAGATGAGAGAAAAATGAGGAAACCCAGCCTGAAGGTGCCAAGATGTCATGACAGATTAATCCAAAGTCAGATAATACAAATCTTTTGAATATCTAATGCTTAGTTTCCCTCATCCAAATTGCAGAGCCAAAAAACCTCTTCTTTTTGTAACTTTGTATCGTCCACCAGATCCTTACTCTGAATTTTTAGATGAGTTTTCAGAGTTCCTCTCTCTTATTTGGTATTAAAAACTGACAGGGTCATCATAGTGGGAGATTTTAACATCCATGCTGACATTGAAAGCGATAGCTTAAGAGCAGCCTTTAATGCTATCTTAGACACTATTGGCTTTGTTCAAAATGTGAATAGTCCCACACATTCTCATCTTCATACTTTGGACATTGTGCTGACATACGGCATAGAATGTGAAGAAATAACAGTATTTCCTCACAACCCTGTCCTCTCTGACCACATTTTAATAACCTTCAGGATTGCTTTAACAGAGTTCTCCTCCCCCAAAAGAAGGTTTCACTTTAGCAGATCATTATCAGATAGTGCAGTTATAAATTTTAAATAATCTGTTTCACTTTCTCTCTCCTCTGTGTCGCAGAGCAGTGCTGCAGAGTGCAAAAGTTTAGCTTATTCCCCTTCACAGGTTGATGATTTTGTTTATGGGGTTGCTAGTTCTCTGCGTACTGCCTTAGACAACGCAGCTCCTTTGAAAATGAAAAACTTTAAAAAATAGAAACTGGCTCCTTGGTTTAATGCAGAGCTGCACACTCTGGGAATCCTACCTAGTCTGGAAAATTAGATTACTGCTGTATAAGAGGACCTTTTGTAAAGCAAGAGCAGCATATTTCTCCTGAAAGGAGAATAAGAATTATCCTAAATATCTTTTTAATAATCCTAGATATCTTTTTAAATCCAGTTGCCAAACTCACCGTCCATCCCACCTGCTCTTAGCAATAATGACTTTATGGGATTCCTTATAAATAAGATTGATCTTATTAAAAATTAGATAGTTAGCACTCCTCTAACTATGATTGGTTTATCTCTGGAAGGTGAGACAGCATCTGAGATTGTCATGGAATCTGAACTGGGTTTAGACTGCTTTGATCCAGTTGAACTTTCTGAGTTAGCAAAATTATTGTCTTCATCTAAGCCTTCAACTTGTATGTTAGATCCAGTTCCAACCAGGTTATTTAAAGGAGAAGTCCGGTTTTTAACACTTTTAGCCCATTTTCTGTAGTGTCCAGGATGAAATCGAATGATCGACACCAAAATTTTGACAATTGGTCCTGTCTCTGCTTTTTGGCTCATTTAGAATCAACCCCTGGCTGCTTTAGAATGGCTTTCATAGAGCATGTCCGATAATGTCCTTAAAACAACCTTAAACGTTCTTTTTTTAAAATCTGCTACTCACCGTGTCGTCAGCGCTGTTCAATGACGTTCCAAAAAAAGTTTCGTGAAGAAAAAACGTTCCTGTAGTGTTTTATTTAGCATTTTGTAAATCCCATTGAGTTCTGTTGGAATAGTCAATATTCCGCTGCCACCGGAAACGGAAATGGGGCCTGTTTACACAGTTGTAGTCTTTTCGCTTCACTCTGTGTACTCCGACGTCGAGAATCAAGAATCCACCTTTCGTATTCCATTTTCAGAGTTTTTTAAGTGTTTAACAGAGACGTTAGCACCTCGACGTCGGAGTACACAGAGTGAAGCGAAAAGACTACAACTGTGTAAACAGGCCCCATTTCCGTTTCCGGTGGCAGCGGAATATTGACTATTCCTACAGAACTCAATGGGATTTACAAAATGCTAAATAAAACACTACAGGAACGTTTTTTCTTTATGAAACTTTTTTTGGAACGTCATTGAACAGCGCTGACGACCCGGTGAGTAGCATATTTAAAAAAAAAGAACGTTTAAGGTTGTTTTAAGGACATTATCGGACATGCTCTATGCAAGCCATTCTAAAGCAGCCAGGGGGTGATTCTAAATGAGCCAAAAAGCAGAGACAGGAGCAATTGTCAAACTTTTGGTGTCGATCATTCGATTTCATCCTGGACACTACAGAAAATGGGCTTAAAGTGTAAAAAACCGAACTTCTCCTTTAAATAGCACTGAAAGAATAGCTCTGGTGAAAGTCACTAATGATATTTTCATGGCCTCAGATAATGGACTTGTACCTGCACTTGTCCTGTTATATCTCAGTGCTGCATTTGATACAGTTGATCATAGTATTATTTTAGAAAGATTTGAATATTTTATTAAGAATTAAAGGAACAGCTCTAGACCAGACTTAAATCCTATCTATCTGACCGATTTTAGTTTGTTCACGTCAATGATAAATCTTCCTCATGCTCCAGGGTTACCTGTGGAGTACCACAGGGATCAATGCTAGGAACAATTCTCGTTACTATATATATGCTCCCAACTGGTAGAGTTATTAGACAGCATGGGATTAATTTCCACTGTTATGCTGATTCTACCCAGCTATATCTGTTTATAAATCCTCAAACCTCATCCACAATCATTTGGCTATGTTTTATTAATATATTTAGGCTGAAATACATAGGGACCCCTTTTTCATCATTCTGCTTCATTCTATCTCTATTCTCCCACTCTGCAGAATCTGTTAGTTCAATCTCTAACGTTCTGCTCTCTCTGCTTTTTCTCATAATAGCTTCATCTGGTCTGTTCCTGTTTGGCTGTGACTCCATCCTGGAGAGAAATATCAACTGTGCTGCTGCCATCAACACCTTTGTTTCTAGATGTTGGAGCTTGGCCTGTTTTCCAGTGTAGTCCTGTTTCTCTGACTGTGACTAACTGGCTGTGCTCTCTTCATCCTCTGACATGGGAGCTGGCTCGGAGCTCGTCTGCCTGGCTGTGTGTTTTCTGGACGGGGCCGCCTGTGGAGCTGGTTGACAGTTGCCTTTTGCATCTATGCTTCTTTTTCTATGTCTGCTTCTGTCTCCTTGAACCCCAGTCAGCCTCAGAAGATGGCCGCTAACACTGGGCCTGGTTCTGCTGGAGGTTTCTTCATGTTAAAAGGGAGTTTTTCCTCTCTACTGTTGCTACAAGCATGCTGAGAGTGTGGCGGATTGCTGAGTAGTCAATGAGACAATGCAATCAACTGGTTTTCCTTAGATAGAAAACTTTGAATTGATCTGACTGGATGATGTGGTGAACTGTAAAGTGCATTGAGATAACATGTGCTGCGAATTGGTGCTATAGAAATAAACTGAATAGAATTGCTTCTCATCTCCTGCTCCTGTTTGGTCCAAAAAATGATCACTGATGTGCAGCAAGGAGGAGCCAGTGCAACAATAGAGGGGCATCTCTGTCCTGAAAAGCCTCAGGGAACCTGGGAAGCAGGGGACAGAGACACAGACCAGGGCCGGCTGCTTATCAATGAACATTTGTTTTTATTTATTGGAGCTTTAAAACCCTCAAAATAATAAAACTAAGCCTCCAAAGAGCAGAGAAACCACTGTGGGAGGGAATCCAGAGGGGAGGAACAGGTACGTAATCCTTATAGCAGAATAAAAGCTTTTATTTTGTGCATTCTAACGTATAGATTCACTAATGTCTTTAGAGTTTAGATATTTCCTCCCAACTTTTCCTCAACAAAATGTTTTTACAGTAGCTAAAAGTCAGACAATGACCTCTGCAGGGGAAACATGCGGTTACGTTCAGCTGGTGATTGTTGACCTTTTTGCTCAACAGCCATTTTAACATATGTAGGAAAGCATGGTCTAACATTTCAACAAAGGTCTGAGAACATTTCCCTCACTGGATCGGTCCTGAACGCAGACATTCAACGTCAGGGTCAGGTTAGAGGCGCCCTGCACAACGCAGCAATACAGAGGAGAAATGAGGGAGGAGGCCAAGATGACAGACCTGAAGCTTTGAACAGACAAAAACATGAGTTTAGAAGTTTAGGAGCACAGAAAGATAACAGCATCACAGCTTGCCTAAAACACCACGTCAGATGGGAACAAGCTTTGAAGGCTGGATCAAACTCAGCTGCATGAACAAAATGACCAAATATTCAGTGTGGCAGCAATCACAGCATTTAAACATGCACACATGTGGAACCACACAGGCTGAAACTGCCAACGTTCCCTCTGCCAAACACCAGCGTGATGCATTAGGATGAATGAGCTGCTCTGGAGCCACTGAAGGAAAAAAAAAAAACGTCTGATTGATGCAAAATGTTCTGTTTTTTATTCAGCCTTTAATGGATTGTTCCTAAAAACCTTTCTACACATTTTAGCTCTAAAGTTGAGGCCAGAGGAGCAACGATCTCTCAGGGACTGAAGGCAAAATACATCCTGCTGTTCTAGCAGCTTGTTTCTGATCAGAGGTTTTTCTCTCATTCTGAGGGCGAGAAAGGAAAAGTTATGAAGACTTCCTGCACCTCAGTTGATGCAAAGTAGGAAATATTCTGGCCAGATGTTTTTAATCATGTTTCAGTTGCAAAAATATACAGCAATGAAAAAAATTATCTTTATTGTTTTAGAGTTGAAACAAGTTGAAAGAGGCAGAATAAAATTAAAAACATTATTGATGCTGTTAGGGTCATCATAGTGGGAGCAGAGACCCCCCCACACACACCTTAAGGTGACCAACACCTCTCATCCCGCTGCAGTACCATGACTATTTAGGCACAGTCGGAGTTCTGGCTGAGTCTGACTGAACCATAAACGGAGCTTAGATTAGTGCTAATAATAATAAAATAAAGAACATTTCTTCCTCTATAAAGGTCTGCATTGCTTTGATGCCAATGGGAGGATGGACAAATGTCAGCATAGATTAAATGATTTTAAAAACTCCTTTTAGATTATTTTATTATCGATTTATAATAAGCAGATGCTTAACTTTACATATTTGGTATTTTCAGTATTCGGATTAATATGAAACTGATAATGTGATGTTGACAGATCCGACCAGCTTCAGCTTCTCCACAGCCTCCATGGTCATGGTCTTCTCTTATTAATGTTCTCCTGTTTTGTTTTTGCGGCCACTAGTGCCGCAAAAACAAACAAAAAAAAGAGATATTTAAATATTTCAGATTGTTATAGAACCAAACCCTTTTGGACCAGGACTTCTTGGAGTTCAGAAATGTGTTACTGATGCTAAGTGCTCGACTCTCCACCTGGATCAAAGCTCCTCACACTAAACTTTTAGTACTTTAGCTGCAGTTTTCCACATTCAGCATATCGACATGTGCTGAGAGGCAGTGCTGTTTGGCCATTTCCATTTGGGTTTCTGAAGGCTTTAGCATCAGGACACAATGGCTCGTCTGCTGTGGGGAAAGATCAGAACATTCCCACATCTCATCTGGTTCCAATCAGTCAGCCTGGACTGCCCTGTACTGCTCCGTTGTGTTTGTGTAAAACAAATCATTGAAAGGAGTCTCTAATGTTGCTGTGAACTGGGACTCGGCGTTTGGGGGGTCTGTCTTGTGGTCTGACTCATGATTTTTCCAGAGGCTCCTTTCTTTCTGTGGTTTTGTGGGACGCCAGGGTGGCTTCACCACATTTTGCTTGTTTTGGATTAGCTTTAGCATGAAAACTATTCAGCATCGAGGATCATTGAAGCTCCCAGCCTGAAGACAGCCTGCCGTCAGAAAGCCAGACAAACATGAGAAAGATCCCAGTAAACAAAAAAAACATTTAATCATTTTAGAAAAAAATAATGTAGTCCTTTTTTTCTGGTTAACCCGCTGACTGATACACGATCGAGGTTTCTATGATCCCAGAGATCCCATCCTATTAAAAATGATTAGATGACCTCAGTCTCATGCTAGTTCTTCTGTAGATCCATGAAAGCCTGAGTTCCCTCAGCCCATCAGTGGTTTATTCCCACTCTGCTCTGGAAAAGAAATGGTGGGAGATTTTCCATGACATTCCCGGAGGAAACCTCTGTGGCTTTGTTTCTAAAGAGCTGGGTCACTATGAGTTTTTCTCTGACCTCAGAAAACATGAGATTTGAATTACTTACATATGAGAGAACGGGGATGGGGGGGCTGAAAATACATTATGGACAGACTAAAAGAACTAAAAACTTTAGACTTTCTATTGACTAAGATGATGGATGGATGGATGGATGGATGGATGGATGGATGGATGGATGGATGGATGGATGGATGGATGGATGGATGGATGAATGGATGGATGGATGGATGGATGGATGGATGGATGCATGGTGGCTGGTGGATGAATGGATGGATGGAGGGATGGATGGATGACGGATGGATGGTGGCTGGTGGATGGATGGATGGATGGATGGATGGATGATGGATGGATGGATGGATGATGGTTGATGGATGATGGATGGATGGATGGATGGATGATGGATGGATGGATGGATGGATGGATGATGGATGATGGATGGATGGATGGATGGATGATGGATGGATGGATGGATGGATGGATGATGGATGGATGATGGATGGATGGATGGATGGATGGATGACGGATGGATGGTGGCTGGTGGATGGATGGATGGATGGATGGATGGATGATGGATGGATGGATGGATGGATGGATGATGGTTGATGGATGATGGATGGATGGATGGATGGATGATGGATGGATGGATGGATGGATGATGGATGATGGATGGATGGATGGATGATGGATGGATGGATGGATGGATGGATGATGGATGGATGATGGATGAATGGATGGATGGATGGATGGATGGATGATGGATGGATGGATGATGGATGGATGGATGGATGGATGATGGATGGATGGATGGATGGATGGATGGATGGATGGATGGATGATGGATGGATGGATGGATGGATGGATGGATGGATGGATGGATGGATGGATGGATGATGGATGGATGGATGGATGGATGGATGGATTTAATCTTGAAACTTACCTTATTAGATCAAACATCTATAAATTCTATTTCAATCTTTAATAAATCTTATTTAGGTGACGTAATTCTTCTTTAATCCTTTTAAATCCTGTTTCTTCTCCTCACTCTCAGTAATCTGACAGATCAGGGAGATAAAAAGGAAATCTGACAAGTAGGCATTTATTTCCAAAATTCATATCTATACAATGTTTTCTACGTTTGGGCTATAGATAGTCATAAATGATGACATCAGCTGCCATGCTTTAAACCAGACCACCACTGCAGACTGCAGGTCTAACTGCTGAGAGGTCATAAGTCAGAGCAGACTTCTTCACATTGACTCCACTGATGCGCCGTTATAAGGAGAGAATGGTGATAATAAATAGTGAGCTGGGGAGAGCCTCACACTTTTTTTTGCCATATTCTTTCTCTGCCAGAGAACAGAGCAGCTTTGTGTTGTTGTGGAATTTGGAGCATTCACTTCAATGACCATAGAGCACCATGTCTCTGTTTATTGGCTCACCCATTATCCTTATTCACTGAGGCTTACATTAGCTCTCTATTTTATAAACATCTAATTTCTTTCTCATTCCTGTGTAGGACATCTAATTGCTCCATCTCTGGCCATGCTACTAACAGGTCTCCACCTCCTGCCCGTCGTCCTCTGGATTGGCACTGAAGGAAAGGTCAAAGTTCAAGACCACAAAACAAAACCAGCCAGAGCACCTTTGATCCCTCATCGGCCGTTTGTGGTTGTCTGGAACGCCCCTACAGAGTCGTGTCGCCTGCGTTTTAGGGTGGACTTGGACCTCAGCATTTTTGACATAGTAGCGAACCTTAACGAGACCTTAAGTGGACCAAATGTCACAATATTCTACCACAGTCATCTGGGATACTACCCATACTACTCCAGCTCAGGAGCTGCTATCAATGGTGGTCTACCACAGAACCAGAGCCTTTCCAAACATCTGAACAAGGCCAGAGTAGACATTGATAAGCTAATACCACACAAAGATTTCCGAGGCCTTGGAGTCATTGACTGGGAAAACTGGAGGCCTCAGTGGGTGCGAAATTGGGGTTCCAAAGACATTTACCGTCAAAAGTCTAAGGAACAGATCCATAAACTTCACCCACACTGGCCAGAGAGCAAAGTGGAAAAGGAGGCAAAAGAACGCTTTGAGAAGTCAGGGCGAGCTTTCATGAATCTAACCCTGGCTCTCGCTGAGGCTCGCAGACCACACGGTCTCTGGGGGTTTTATCTTTTCCCAGACTGTTACAATTATGGCTACAAACAACATCCCCAATGCTACACGGGGGAGTGTCCTAATGTTGAACATGTTCGCAATGACCATTTGATGTGGCTCTGGAAGGAAAGCACTGCGCTCTACCCGTCCATCTACCTGGACTTTGAGCTGAAGTCTTCCACCAACACGGTCAAGTTTGTTCACTATCGAGTAAAGGAAGCGATGAGGATCGCATCCATTGCACGGGCAGACTACACATTGCCTGTATTTGTCTACTCCAGACCTTTTTACGCCTATACTTTTGTTGTTCTTTCAGAGGTATGTTTTGAACAAAGCCAATGGTTAAACTGCATTAAAATTTTAAAGCTTCTTTAACTGATCAACTCCAACTAAGCCATTTTAATGATGTGATCCATTCTGTCCCTATGCCTAACCATTCTTGTCTGGTAAATGGCTGACCAGCCACCAGTGGCGAATGGCTAATAGAGGGTGCTAGGGCCTCCACCCACTCAACCAATTATCTTGATAAAGACATAAAAAAAAATATATATATATATATAAGTAAAGTGGTTTGGTTTGTCATTGGATTGGTGATGTATTTCCATAAATCTTCATCAATAGACCCACAGGTTAAAAGTTGTCGATGCGCAGTAGGTCCTCTGCAGTGCTAAAGATTGGACCATCCTGGGGAGCAGCTCTCCTGCATGACGGAGTATTAGGGCCCGGCTAGAAATGTTTTTTTTCTCTTTGGAGAGTAAAGTCGTAAAATTACGAGAATAAAGCAGTAATATTAAAAGAATAAAGTTCTACAATTACGAGAAACAAGTTGTATTTTATGACAACTCTTACTAGAAGCACTTTCTTCCCTAAAATGAGGAATGTCTAGCATCATGTGAAATGATGTTACATTCACACCAAAAGCAGAAAGAGCAGCAAAAACACACGTGCTGCATCATTTTTGATTAGTTTATTTTTTGACAAGTTTAGTTGTGACGGAGCAGTAAAGCTGCTTCAGCTGCGCGGTGGAAAAGTGGTTCTGCTGCGCGTTTGGCAGAGCTACAGTATCCTTTCTTTGCCTGTAACAATGGCAGCTACATTTGCTGTGATTAGTGGGACTAAAGTAGTTTTAATATGTTTTTAAGTGAGAAAGTCCGTATGAAAATTTCATCCTTGCAGTCAGTTCATTAGGATTAAGATCTTTTATTCAAATATTATTTCGCTGTTGGAGCTGCACAGACCCCCACATACCAGTGCTCTGTCATTGGAAATCCCATTCAACAGCAGCCTCCGGCCCGGTTTCCTCTTTGTCCGTAATCCAAACTGCAGGCACCAGGATAATAAAAGTGAACATGTTTTGCCAGCAGAGTTCGGCATTTTAAGTTAATTTAGGTGTTAATAAACTGTTTCAGTGGAGTGATCATTGTAATCTGCATCAGCAGCGATGTATCTGTCTCCCTGCCAGCTCCCAGATCAGCTTCTCTAATTGGTTGACAGGGCGCGTTGAGCAGCAAAAGTTCAATTTTTACCAACTCCAGCAGCAGGTGCGTTTACAGCGTGTTGCACGCGTCAGATGCTCCAACTCTCACGGCGCGCTGCTTCAGCTGCTAAGATGTCCTGCGCCTGCGGTTCAAAATGCGCTGTGGGACCTTACGCTGCACCTTGATGCGTGTCAACCATTGACTTTGCATGTAAACTAGCTGCTTCTGCTGCCTTTGTTGCTTTTGGTGTGAATGTAGCATTATACTTTGGTATCTGTTTGACAAATAAGTAAATCTTTTAGCACTAGCATCAAACACGGGGATACCTTTCTGAATCTTGAAGGAGGCAGTCGCATTTCTTGCTGCTTTGCAACTCCCTGATCGCCCTGCTCTGTCTCTGCTTTGCTTAGCCTCGTCTTTTCTGAGCCCTCTCTTCATATCACCTGAACTTATACAACAGATCTAGTCAGCTGGTCTCTCAATGCAATTGATCAAATTTTGTCAACTGGAAGGCAAGGAAAAGGGGACCTGTCCTGTCCTGCCGGGACATACTTCATGGGATATATATTAGACTCCTGGAAAGCTTGGTTGATGGTGTATGGATTTTTGCTTTAATGATACTAGGATTTCTCCTGTTTGGATTTGGAGGATACCTGATGTATCTACAATTACAGAGGATGTCGGCGGCTGTTTGGGCATTGATCAGGCGGCCGGCAGCGGTTCACGCCCTTACAAAGAACAAATAAAAAAAATAAAAAAAAGTTTTTTGGTGGCAGCAGATTGATTGTCATGTCTGCTAGGAAGTTTGTTGGTGGTGGGCGTGAACGCAGGGAGGATCCATCACACTCACCTTCTGGCTCACCCTATGATGGGGATGAAGCCTGGATGAGAACTGACGGTTTCCTCCTGTGAACTTCCTTTATACCAAAACGCTGCCAATACGCCATTATACAGTAGCTGGAAGTTAGAAACACGTTCAGCGCTCGTCTGGAACACGTCAGATACGTTGATATGCGTTGGAGAGAAGTTCTGGATAAGTTAGGCAGAAGTTATGCACAAGTTACCCAGAGGTTTAGGATAAGCTAGACGCCACGACTGATGAGGAACTGACACTGAACGTATGTCAACCATCAGAGAACTGACCTGGAACTGACGGCCCACGGATGGCAGACGAATTTCCTGTCGTTTCAGTGTGCTTCAGTGTACCCATAACTTTTCAAACATATGGTAGTGTTATTGCCAGATTTTCCGTACATCAGGCAAAGTAGTCAAGGTTTTACAGGAGCTTCAGCAGGCAATCTTTATCTTCAGCTACCCATCTATACATTCAGTATTCAGTATTGATTAATACTGTATAGACTATTGTTGCTGCATTCTATCTGTAGTTCTATATCAGTTGGTTGTTTTCTTCTTTTGCAGATGATGTTCTTCTCTATGCAGATGATGAATTTTTGTTAATCTCTCTCTTTCTCTTCTCTTTTTTCTTTCACTTTTCTCCCTTTTCTTCTCTTGTCATTTCTCTACTCTTCTACTTTTACAATGTAGTGTCCAAATAACAGGAATCGTAAATCATAAGAACCACTGAAACCGCTGGTCCAGAACCACTGGTCTAGAAATACAAGTCCAGAACCGCTGGTCCAGAACCACTGGTCCAGAATCACTGGTAGCGCTGTCTGACAGCTACATATGTGCTCATAAATAGCTGAACCAAGCACTCTTGATAAACAAGAAATAATATCTTTGAAGTCTTGCGACCCACAGAAACACGGAGAATGCGATAAAGACTTTTTTATAATCTGCATTTTCTCCAGTTTGATCGACTTTCTTTTCTTTGATCATTTGCCTCTTCCAATGAATGTTTTTATCTGTTAGCTTTGATGTAATTTTGCTGACCGACACAAAACTAATGAAATATCAATAAAGTAGCCCGGACAGATACTGCAAGGTTATTTATCTAATTTGAATGCATTTCTCATACTTTCTATAGATATATAGGAATGGAAAATCATTATCATTTATTTTTACCTTATTTTAAATGAAAATCACTGAATTTATTGTACGTAAGGAAACCACTGCTGCCCATGGAAGAGCTGCTGACGTCAGTTCTGCCTCGCCGAGGTCACATCCAGGATGAGCCAATTGCCACAGAGAGCCAGTCAGCCATTTTTAACCCAAACCGACGGATTTCTAAATGCTGCCTGGTACTTAGGCTGTAAGGCATCTATTTATACGGTTTAAAAAGCAAAAAGGTTTGTTCAGGGTTAAGCGGTCTGTTCAATGTTCACATTATTCTATTTATTGTTTTCTGGCTGATTGTTTTTCACTCTATACTACTTCTCTTCTCTTTGGAGGAATCTTAAGTACTGGATGAATACATTTGGAGTAGATTAGATTTTCTTCCCATTAAAAGGGAAACATTTTCTCCTGTTATTCTCCCTCCCAGCTTAGTTTGAGGAATTGCTGCAAATAACCTCTAAAGGAGAAATTGCTACAGGTCAAAGCAATCTGCTAGATTTCCTGAGATTATATTAAAATTAATCATGAGCTGAAGCAAACTGAATCTTTCTTTCTGTTAAAGAGGGACTTGGTTCATACCATCGGGGAGAGCGCTGCCTTGGGAGCATCAGGTGTTGTCCTGTGGGGGTCATCAGAGTACGCTCGATCAAAGGTAAAGGTTGAAAAATGTGAAACAGATTCTTAAATTGATGGCTTGGAACAAAGCATTTTTATTAGTATTTGTCCAAATCTGATATTGTGTTGTGCATTGAGAAGACATGTGTTTGAATTGACCTGAATGATTCAAAGTGAAGTAAAGGATCTGGATTCTCTGTTTCTGCTGCTCCTTAGAGGAACTGCCTGACTGTGAAGCGGTACATCGATGGTCCTTTGGGACATTATGTCATCAACGTCACCTCAGCAGCTAAACTCTGCAGCAAAGCACTTTGCAAGAAGAATGGACGATGCGTCCGCAAGAGCTTGGACTCCGATTCTTACCTTCACCTGAACCCACGCTACTTTCATATTCACCACAATCCGGCACCCGAGGGCCCCCGCTTTGAGGTACGGGGCCACCTCAACAGCCAAGACATTATGGACATGAGGCAAAAGTTTACCTGCCAGTGCTACCAGGGCTGGACTGGCGTTTACTGTGAGATTCCACAAACAGCTCCGTCACCTGACCTGCTTCCACGGAGGATTGGCCTGATGACCTGCCTTAAGCTCCTCCTTTCCCTCCACTTCCCCTGTCTTTGCATCGTCCTGTTTTTGGTCTCATGTCTAATCATAAAAGGTCTCCTACTGTAGCCTGCAGACCTCAGAGGGAGAATAATTCCCAGATTAAACAATGTTCCCATCATTGGAGAGATTATTGCAATGGGTTATAGGTGCGGTTGCCCATGGCAACATTAGATGAGGGGGATACGTCTGTTCATTGCATGTCAAATAAGCCTCCTGTGGTTTTCATGTACATCCGATAGGTTGATACCCTGTGTGCTAACTGGGTGTTTTCTCCGGCTGCTGATAATTAGTGTTGTTTCTGACAGCCATCTTAAATTTAGTCTTAGTTTTAGTCTTCAGGACAAAAACGATTAGTTTTAGTCATGTTTTAATCTCTACGATATGTGATAGTTTTAGTTAGTTTCAGTCAACTAAAACTCTAGAAGGTTTTAGTCTAGTTTTAGTCAGTTTTATGTTGCACTTCATAAAAAAGTGCTACAATAGCTTGGTATAGAATGCTGCAGTGCAGTTCATTGTTGTTGTTGGGCAGAAAACTTTGATTTATGGAATTCAAATGAACTTTTTTATGAATTAATGCCCTACTTTATACAAAACTGTCTCAAAGCTGTGAAAACAGCAGATCTAGTTCAACACATCATATTGGTTAATATAGCAGATAGACAAGCTAACAAAATGTACAATAAAGGAATGGCTTTAGACATACAAGGTTTCCATCCCAAAGCAAACACTTCCTGATCTACTATGAATTCTGCATTACACACAGATCAATAAAATCTGCATCGCTATGAAAAGCAAAGAACAAAAACATTCTTCTTTCTACTTTGGCAATTTTGGTTTTATTTCTGAGAATTTCACCCTTAGTTACTGCTGTGCAGGGGTCAAAGTAGATTTAAATAAAAGGGTTTGATATAAAAAAGATACAGAGAGAACCTACATAATTGCCTTGTAATCCCACGGCAAGCTAGACCTAACTGAAGGAATATGTGAACTAAAATGTTGAAATATTTAAAGGAAACAGACAAAATGTTTTAATGAAAATACAAGGAAATATTTACATCATATTTAAATAGAAATGAGAAAAATGAGAGAGAAATATTCAAAGATCTATGAACCTTTTCATCAGTGGCGGCCGGCCCATAGGGGGCGCTGGGGCACCGCCCTCCCTGATAAGAAGAGAGAAACGTAAAATATATTTTTAGAAATTAACTCATAAATGTCAGTTTTACTCTCTAGACTGTGTACCTATAAGCAAAACAAATTATATAAACTACATTTCCCTATCTACTGTCATTAATTTGTGGATTTCCACAGACAGACTCCTACCGTCTCTGTTCTGGGGGCTGTGATCAGACTGACCCACATTTGCAGAGAATCTGTCAATCATGTATTATTGCTAGGTGAATTTAATGGCCAATCAGCGTCTCGGAACTTTATGGTCTTGGGGCGCTGAAAATACCAAACCCAAGCGCAGGTGCAGACAATTAGAGGGAAGATGGTGAATGTAAGGAACGAGATGCAGCTTCCACCAAATTCGGTGAGATCCTTATTTATCTACCCGTTTGCCAGAAGAACATCCCTGTTGTAGGATATGAACATTTCATGTCATGGTTATTGGGACTGTGACGAATCCACCTCGTCGCTTAAAACAACCTCTCTAACTTTGCGCGCCACACACACATTCCTGTTATACTGTGTTTGTGAGGACCAATACACTCGCGCTGAGACCAGTAGCTCCATGAACTTAAAACACACAAGCTGTTCCTGGTTACCTGCTGGCATATTGAGGGTGCACACTTAATATTTCAGTGGGGTTAGCCGTGTGTGTGTGTGTGTGTGTGTGTGTGTGTGTGTGTGTGTGTGTGTGTGTGTGTGTGTGTGTGTGTGTGTGTGTGTGTGGGTATGTGGGGGGTGTGGGTGTGTACGTGTTTATGCGGGGACTTGTCATCTTCAGTCTGGCTGCGTCTTTGCTGGGTTCAAACCCAGTTTGGTGTAATTGAATAAGTCAATGAAAAAAGAATTGTGTAAAAGAATTGTGTAAAAGAATTAAGTTGTAAAAATTATTTGTTTTTGTACATCAATTGTTTGTGGAGGTAATATATGGACAAAACTGATTAATGAGAAGAAATCAGAAATAAGAGAGCCTGAGGTGAGGGGCTTAAACTATTTAATGAGGGCTGTGGGAAGAAAAGCGGCAATTTTTGTTTTCTGTTTCTTTGTTACATTGCTGGTAACTGGAGGGAGGCTGAGGCCCAGAGTATCTTGTATATGTTTAGTTTCTTTTGCACCCTGTTTTGAGTTTTTGAGCTCAATAAATCACCAACACCGGTAACCCGACTGAGCCTGGATTCTTGGAGGCCAAAGAACCCCGTCACAGTGACCCAAATCATCACTGTTACTGTTATTATATAGTAAATTAAATCATTACTGTTAAATTATATGTATTGTCCAATTGTTTATTTGAATTCTTATTCCGGGTTAGTTGGAGACATACACTAGGCTATATCAGCCCCACCAAAAATATTTTTCACCAGCCGCCACTGCTTTTCATCTGGATCTTATCCAAAAATAAACAGAATGCAATGAAATATTTGCTTTGGATATAATTTAGGGATACCTTTTGGTCGAAATTAAAGAATGTTTAGCATCACCTCTTGTGAGATGGAAGAAATAAAATCTTGATAGTTAGACAAAGGGATTTTTTACGCTTAGCAGAGGATGATCAGCCACATATAGTTTATTAAGTAGTGAGAGCAGGAAGAGCCATACTGCTGAGAGCGAACCATCAGAGTGGAGCGTAAAGCGCAGACTCTGAGCTAATGCTAATGCAGAGACGCATTTCAGCACAAGCACAGCTGGAAGATCAGAGTTAGTCAGAGTTCAGCCCACAGTACCGGTTCATTCTGGGTTATTTTCAGCCTGCCGCAGACTGTCGTGATCCATTTGTGGTCATGCAGAATAAGCAGTGCTGCACGCAGGTGGGTGCGTGGCCAAACAGGAAGCAGCAGCACGGCTGATTCTGCTTAGCAGATTACAGCAAAATTATGCATTTGAAATGTCTGACCGACGACCTGCTAATTTTTATTTAGCCAACGAAAACTCACACCCATGAGTTGTCATGTTTTCACCTTAAAAGATCCACGTTTAGCTCGTCACTTCTCATTATAGTCATGAAAGAAAAGAGCGGGATCATCATTGTTGACGAAAACACTGTTGATAGTAAAGGGAAAAGGACCCATCACTGATCGGCTGCCCGTGTTACCTGGAAAAGAGGAACATGGTAGAAACCTTTCTTTCCTGATCAGAAATAGCAGATTCCTGAATGGTTGCTGTAATATAAGGACTGAGTGAACTACAAGCTCAATGTTTGTTCAGTTGATAAAACTGTTTAGCCATTTCTGGGATTTTTTTTCTGCAGTAAAATAAAACAGCTGATAATCGTTAGAAAATAAAAGCTTTGTATTCTTATTTTATTTTGTGGGGCTGATCTGCTGATGTATAAAATGTATAAAATTCAAACCAGAGTTTTATGTGAGGATGTGACTAATATTGAAGATGTGCCAACAATCAGCTGGCTGGTTGACTCTGGGGCTAAATTTAACCCTCCCCCCCTTATTATGGAGAGCACCTACTGTAAGGTAGAAGCCTCTGCTTAGGGCCCCCACTGGCCTGGGGGCCAAAAAGGATTTGGCTTCTCAAATATTTGCTGAGTCCAAAAGGTGAACTTTGTTCCTTCATTTGGTCATAGGTTGTAATGTTTTTCTTTTGTTTTACTGGGCAGCTCAGTGAAGGCATATCCATCTGGTTTGTAAATAAACCAACATGGGCAAAGAAACCGGTTAAGGTTTGCCATTGTACTGTACCATGTAATCTGACGGATGTTTTGATATAAAGATGATTTCTGCTTACTTTGCTTTCTGTTTCTAATTAGAAATGTGTGGCAGCCTTTGGCTCAGGGCTGAACCATGAAGCGGGAGTAGAAGAATATCCAGCTTTAGGATAAACTTCCCACCGAGCCTCTTTCTGTCCCGCTGGCATCTTCAACCAAAGGAAAACTCAGATCTATGCCATACAGATGTCCATGATGGCCGCTCAGATGCAAGCAGTAACAACGAATAAAGCATTTAAACTGTTTCTCTACATGAACAATATTTTGGAAAAAATCAAACCAGTAAATAAAGTTAAAGAATTTTGTTTTTTGCTGGATACAAAGCTTTTATTGGAGGGTTCCAGTTTAGAAGGTTTTACAACTAAGAGATGTTTTTATATTTTTAAACTGATAAATTATGGTAATTTTCAGTACTTTCAGATCTTTAGACTGCATGCTTGTTGAGACGACCAAGACTTTGGGAATCAGTGGCGTAGATTATCCTAACGATGTCTGGGGAAAATCTTGTGACAAAAAATCTTGTGACAATAGCTGCACTATACCTTTAGCCCAGCTGGAGGTGCTGTTAGGAACCAAAAAAGCCTGATAAACAAACTCCTTTTTCATCCTTTATAAGGAGAAACTTGTTCTCTTTAGACTCTGGAGAAAGCTAAAAAAAAATTTTAATTTAATTTCTTGCAAATCTGTGGAGTTATTAAAGCCTCAGGATTTATTTACAGTAATTGATTAACAAACATGTCTTTTCTGACTTTCACAGCATAGAAACTAAATGTTTGGTAAACGTTTTAATATATCAGAATAAAGCAGATTATCAGTCAATAACAGGCTCCTCATTGGCTGATTTTGTTGGACACTGACCGGAATAAAAACAACTGCTGCTGGAGATGTTGTTCCTCATTTATAATGTATTTGATAAAGTCTTAAGTATTTTCTGGGTGTTAAGGAAGCCGACAAATGGTGGAAACACCAACTTGTTCTGAAAGCTTTTGCCCCCTGAAGTCGTTTAACCTAGAGCTACCCTTCCAGTTCGTTTCCTGGGAGAGAGTTACCTGCTTTGACTGCTCTTAAATTAAACGTATAGTGGAGGTGTCATGATGTGTTTTAAAGGTCTGACCCAAAGATGCAGAGAACTACTCAGAGAACCAGGAAAAAGGGTTTAACAGGTTTATTGAGGAAAAGGTAGAAGGGGGTAAATGGAACTCAAAGAACTGGTAAGCAGGAACTAGGAAGTGTTTGGGGGGTTTCTTCTCACTTTGAATCCAGTAAGTGTGGGTTGATCCAGAGAAGAGGGGACGCGTTGAAGAGTGGACAGGTAAATATTCTTTGGACCCGGAGGAGCAATGGAGCGGACTTTCACTTGGATTTTCGTGAGGGACTTGAACGGCACATGTGGAGGTTTCTCCCCTGCTCAGTGTGAACTCAGTAAACAATCCTTCCAGGGGAAGAAGGCCAAACATCCAGTATGCAGGAAGACTTCCTGCCAAAGGTAAAGACAAAAAAACAAGGTTAGACTCAGAGAGACAAAGACTCAGTTTAACTCAGTGAAACAAAGACTCAGGTTAGGCTCTGCTAATCTAAGCATGGCTAGAGTACCCAAAACTGGCAAAGACTCTGGCGTCCAGGTAGAGACAGTCCACTGCTTAAGTACTCCTCCAGATAATGATCCAAAGAGCCGCAAGGTGCAGGGAGGACCAACAATGA